CCTGAAACTGGGTAATTTGTAAAGAAACAATATTTATTGCTTACAGTTTCAGAGGCTGGGAGGTCCAAAGTCCAGGGAACACATCTGGTGAGGGCCTTGTTGGTGGGTGGTGACCCTCCACAGAGATGCAGGGTAACATGTGGCAAGAATGGCAGAAAAGAGAGAGAAAGCATGCTTCTTACTCACTCTCCTTTTACAGCCATCAGAACCACACCCATGGCCACCATTAAACCGTCAATGTATTAATCCATTCACTAGGGCATGGTCCTCACAATCTAATCACCTCTTCAAGACTTCACCTTTCAGTTACCATACTAGGAGTTCTGTAGTACATGGGACTTTATGGGACACAATTCAATATGTAGCATGCAGTCTTCCAGGTTGAGTAAGAAAGAACCTGATAAAGAGCTCTAACAGTAGAGTGGGGGTGCAACAGGGAAAGGAGAGAAGGACATGAAAAGGTTGAAGAGTTCACTTAGGTCAACAGAGTTTTCTCTGTACACACGAGATCTCATCTTTAAGTTACATCTTTTGTCCCTGTTGAAAAGGTAGTTTTCTCAGATCCCCCAGGAGTACTAACAATGGACTTTTCTCTCCCTAGGGTTATGATAATTCAGAGAGCAGTGTTCGGAAAGCTTGTGTCTTCTGCCTGGTGGCTGTTCATGCAGTAATTGGTGATGAACTAACACCGCATCTCAGTCAACTCACTGGCAGTAAAGTAAGTCATACCGCTTTTTTCTAAAGATGGTGGCCATAATACATTCTTAAAAATTTAGTTCTCTGGGTGTGTTAAATGCTAAATTTGTTCTTTGGCTTTTAATAACTCAGGCTTTAAGCATCCAGCCTGCCCTTACTCCTCCTATTTTGCTTTTTAGCTTTTTCTACTTTAACATTTGTCACTCAGGTGAAGTCAGCAGTTTAGTAGGGTGGTTAATAGATTGTTATGAGAAAATGCCTGGAAGCTTCTGTTTATTTGTAATAGCCAACTCCTTCAGCCCAATCTTTACTCCCATGGACTGTCTAATTAGGAATAAATAGATTGTTGTAGTTATATATTCATACTTTATATCTCCTAAAATGTGGAACACTTGAACATTTTTTAAATTTTCCCCTTAAGAACTAAGATAATCAAGTGTTTGTTCTCCTTCTCTTCCTATTGTTATGATCCAGATTAATGCGCAACTTTGACTAGGTATGTTAAAATAAAAATTTCTGATTAATCCTTAAGACAAAAAAATAAATGTCTTGCTTTCCTTATTTCATTGGTACTGCCAAAACTTTAAAATTTGTTCTGTGACTGTTGAATTATGGCTTATGAACTGTTTAGCAGGAGATTCCTTCATTTAAAAAGTTTCCCCAAATCCTAATAAATGTTGTTATGATAGTCAGATATATTCTTTAAGTAGCAAAAAGGCAGAATAAAAATACATATTAAGAAAAGTGAACTCAGGTACACACCTTATGTTAAATATCTATATAAGTTGTAGACAGATTAAAGCGGAGATTCTTAACCCTTTCTTAGTTACAAACCACTGAGATTTAGGTACAATCTCATCCCCCTAAAAAAATAAATACATACAGAAAATTTTACATGTAGTTTCAGAGGGTTCAGTGATCCCCTGAATCCATGGACACCAGGTTAAAAACTCTTGGATCAAAGAGTTAACATTTAAAAAGCAAACCTTCAGAGCTGGCTGATTAGTTCATTTGGTTAGATCAGGATGCTGATAACACCAAGGTCCAGGATTTGATCCCTGTACCAGCCAGCCACCCAAAAACACCTAAAACAAAACAAATAAAAATAAAGAAATAAAAAGTA